ACGTTCTTTTCCGGCTTTTCTAAAAGCCGGAAAAAAGCGGCGGACATCTTTATTTAAATGCCGCGGGGGATATTTAAATCCCCCGCGGATTTCCCTATTACGACCTGTGAAATTAACATGCCCCTTTCGGAAAAGGGGCCAGTGTAGACGTAGCCCCTCTGAACTACGTGGCTCTTGAAAATAAATGTGTATAAGAATCCACACAGGAGTTTTGAAACCTGAGTTCTGCCGGAGAGGACCCTCACTGGAACATGAGTTTGGAACTCATTGATATAAATGGGAGTTCTGCGTGTGTGGAAAGTTTGCAGGCTCCAGTTCTCAGCCTTTCACCTGTGAGCCTGGGAGCCTGATAATGTCATCCTAGTTGTCATTTTAATTCCTGGGAATAGGAGCTCAGGACTGAGGGTTACTACATTAGTAGAGCTGCATGAGGAAGCGTACATAGTCCCCACCTGAATTAAGCCTCGCTCAAGCCAATTTTATTCATCCTTCCTGTTCCGGGGGGAGAGGGAGTGCACAAAGTGATGTTAGGCTCTGATTTGAAGCTAATAATCCTGCATTTTTTTAGGGTTGTGTTTCTAAATACCTTTTACAGAAGAGTTTGAAATTTAGGTTTTATTTCCTGTTGGATTGATAGTTGACTGCATGTAGCTTTTTAATTGATACTGTTGCTAACATTCGAACTGGGCAAAAAAATGGCTTTCCCATACTGTGAGAGTTTAGCGATTTTTGCAATTGTTTCCCATCCTGAATTGGGATGAAAAGCTGAAATATCAAACCCTATCACAAATTGAACATAAAATAAAAAAATTGGATTGAGTCAATGGAAATTTTTCTTTTATGATTTTGAAATATTTCATTCTGATTCTGATATTTTAATTGTTTAAAACTTTTATTTTCTATAAATTAAAGTTCAAAACAAAATCATTTCCAGCTGAAAAAACATGGAACCCTTTCATTTTGAAAATGTCAAAACAGGACATCATTTTGACAATTTCTAAACTTTATTTTCAGGGTTGTTGTTTTAAAGAGACATTTGTTGAATTCAACCTAATTCTCACAAGTACCTTGTTTCACCTAATTGACTTTTTTAATTAAAAGATTTTTCATCTAAAAGTTCCTGACCAGTTCTATCCAACATAGACAACAGCCACAAGGTGTGAAGAATGTCACTGTAGCTAGGTGAAGAAGTTAGAAGTACGCAGAACGTGTATGTTCTTTACATAGCAGCCTGTTGTTTATTCTCCCATCACAATACCTTTGGCTTCCCACAGATGATGCTCAAACATCCTATAATGTCAACGTAAGTACAGGTAGATTTCCCCACCATATATTCTGTATCTGTAGGTGATGGCCTGGAGTGCTCTTGTGGTAGATGTAGGGGCTTGCTTCACGTATTTAAATGACTATTTATATATTTCCTGCCCTGTCCCATCAGTCTCTTCAAAATGCCTCTGTCAGTGCCTTGTTCATTCCACTCATTCTATCGCTCCTACTTGCATGCATAGGTGGCCGGTATGCTAGGCAGGGGAAGGCATTGCCTTCCCAAACCACCAGCCTGGCCCCACCCGTGCTCTGTCCCCAGAATGCCTATTGTAGGCGTTCTGGGGGCCATGTGTTACTTCATAGGTCATGTTCTCTAAACCTTTAATCATTCTTGTCGCTCTTCTCTGTACCATGCTCCAGACCTGGAGAGGCTGGGGACTGTGTGGCCTCCGCCCTTCCCTTGCTCCCAGACCAGAGAGGCTCAGGCCGCGTGCCTCCTGCTCTCCACATGTTCCTGGACTGGGGACATACCCTTCTTGTGCTCTGGACCTGGGAGGCTGGGGTGTGAGCACCCACCCACCCTTCTCCCCTCCTCATGGTGTGGAGGAGAGGCTGGGAGGTGGCTTGGCTTCCATGGGGGGCAGGGTCTCACCATAAAAGAGGTGAGACCCACCCCAGCCCCCAGCCTTACCTTCATTGACTGCCCATGTATGCATGACACACTTTCCCTTCCCAGCTCATCAAGTCAATACTTTCTACTGACATTAAATACTTTTAGAAAAAATTACTTCTCACTTGATGCCCAGAAGAAAAACACCACAAAGCCCTTCTGCACTCTGGTTCTTCCAGTGCATCCTATTTTCTCTGTCCCGGTTTCTTACAATGTCAGTGTACAAGCCGTCCTTGCTAAAAGTCCAAGACACGTTCCAAAAAACTTGGACTTATAGCGAAACAACTTAAAGCAGGGAATTTTTTTCCCCGTGGCTGACTTCCATTTGCCCACATGTTTTTTTTTTGCATGACTTAAGAGTGGGGAATGGGAGGACTTATAACAAATCAGTTCCTACAAGCATCAATGACTTTAGTGTGGAACGGATGTATACCGGGGCGACGTATAGCATGGATGCCCTGTAACCTACTGACAGATTGGGTATCTTGCCTCTATTAGCTGACCAGATGTTACCAGCTGCCAATCTGATCCAAAACCCATTGAAGTCAATGACCATCTTTACACCGACTTTGCTGGGTTTTGGAGGAGGCCCTACTGGAGTAACTTCTAACATGGTAGATGGCTTTACTGCCGTGTTGAAGATCTCAGGTCAAGTCCTGCTAATGGGCTGTGTAGCAGGGCAAGATTGCACCCTTGAAAAAAGTTTTCCCTAAGGATTTGTCTACAGTAGGATTTAAACATGTGGTATTAGCAACAGGTCTGTATGTGTGCTAAGCTGGTTATACCATAGGTTCCAACTCCAGCAGTTTAGTGTGTGTTTAAAAATATATATTGCCTTGTCAACACTAGAGTTGGCTAATGCCTTTTAAGAACACACCTTATTACATCTACTACTAACAGGAGACGTAATAATAATTCCTAGATTGTATGTTGCACTTTTCATCCATAGATCCTAAAGTGCTTGGCAAAACAGGTGGTCAGTATCATTATTCCCATTTGACAGAGGGAGAAACTGAATGGAGGTAACTTGTCTAAAGTCACTCAGATTGGTGGTAGATCCAGAAATTGAACCCAGCTGTCTTCAGTCCCCATCCAGTGGCCTATCCATTAAGCTGTAAGTAACTGGCAGGCTAGGTTTTGGTTGCTCTATTAGACTATGTCTACGGAGCCATGTAAAATAGTTTATTCTGCACAGTCAAAGAAACAGGGATTTAAATAATCCCTGCTTCATTAAAATAAAAATGACCGCCGCGCTATGCCAACGATTAGCTGATCTGGCACAGCGCAGCAGTCTAGATGTGACACGGTCGACAAAGGTTGATCAGCTGATCGTCGGCACAGCTTGGCAGCCATTTTTATTTTAATGAAGTGGGTATTATTTAAATCCCCGTTTCTTTGACTATGCCACATAAACTATTTAATGTGGCTCCGTCGACAGAGCAATGTAGTCTAGACATAGCCTTAGAGAATGACAGCCTGCTGCTGCTACCAGCTTATAGAACGCTGCATGAGCTAAGGTAAGAGGTCCGTGCCACAGTGCCGAGGGTTTTGAGTTCAAACTCTGCTGACTTCTCATGTAAGAGTCATTACATGTGTCTTCTGAAGAAGGGGCTCTCTTAGTCTTCTGCAGACTGTACAGTGTGAACACATTGGACTATAATAATCCAGATGATCATGTTATTTTTTTGTCATCAATCCATTTCACAATCACTGAGTGTCCTTTCTTTTCTTGTTTTAGCAGCAATGCACTAACGGGTTTGACCTGGACCGTGCCTCTGGGCAATGCTTAGGTAGGATTTTGATGGAATCAATTCATTTAAACTGGGGTTCATACCCGCTGGCTTGCTTAAATGAATAATATGCTACTATCCATGTATTTTGGCTGATGGGGATGCTCTCAGTGTTTGGCAAATATATATCAGTTATGCAAAAGTCCTTTAGAAATTGGTCACCCGCATCATTCCTTATGAATGAAAATGTCCTCATTCAGACTGGGTGCAGTGGTTTTCACGTGGCTATGATTACATGAGTATGGGAGCTCAGTCTAGTTGCTAGAGGACATGGGTACAGCATCATAAATATCCCCTAGTAGCTATTTTTGGCAGGTTCAGTTCCTCTTCCCCTCTAGGTCAGAATTAA